AATATTTTGGAAAAATTTCAGATTTACATGAGCTGGACCAATTTGAAAATACTTTCTAAAATTTAGTTTTTTATGAATAAAAATATATTTTTTTAAGCATTTTTTGAAAAAAAAACACTTCGCACGGCAAAACAGTTTAAGCTTAAAGAAATAGCTTAAGAAAATATTAAAAAAAAAACTTTTCAAAGGAATAAGATCGGTTTAAGAAAAACTTAAATAACTCAGCCAAAATTTTACCGATCTAGACTTTGCAAATAAACTCATTCAAGGTATGAAAGAGTAAGGTAGGACGAATGAGCGTCGTTCCAAGTAGAATTAAGATGCTGATGTTCGAAAAAAAAAAATGATTGGGACGCGAATTAGTTTCTTAGCAAAGAAATAAAAAGAGTGAGAAAATATGTTTCCACTGATACCTCATACACTGAAAATAAAATTTCGTAAAAATGCTAAGAAAAACTTTCGTAGGCTTGGTTTTTGTACAACGTACGAAGCTTTTATTCATAATACGAACCCGTTTTTTTTTACAACGAGACAAGATTTTACGAACCACTCGAAAATATAATGAAAGAAGTTTCGTAAGGCATTTTTTTATTACTTTTATGCACATTTTTTAAACTTAAACTGTTTTGTCGTCATAAAAAAAAAAAAACATTTTTGGTGTTATTTTCAAAACGGCGCAGCTTACGTAAATCCTAATATTTTATCGAAATATTTAATTGGAAGTCCCGGCGGGAAAACCGCAATTTTTTTTTAGTGATGCAGTCTAATGTACATACATTCATATGTATGTATGTACAAATATATGTACATTCGAGTGAAGACATATGCACGCAAATGCAAATAAAAACGTGGTTAAATGTTTTTTTTTTCTCTACATAGTTTATGCGCACTGCTGACATATTTTTACTGCTTTGGANAAAAAAAAAAAACATTTTTGGTGTTATTTTCAAAACGGCGCAGCTTACGTAAATCCTAATATTTTATCGAAATATTTAATTGGAAGTCCCGGCGGGAAAACCGCAATTTTTTTTTAGTGATGCAGTCTAATGTACATACAT